AGATCAGGGACGGAACACAAGCCACATGCATCTGCGCAAAACCGCCTTGTTGCAGAGCCTACACCTCATCGCAAACGCAAGTTGCGCGACCTTCAACAACGACCTGACCCGTTCGAGCGCGCGCACGATCATAGCATTAGCAACAAGGCGCTGCAATACCGGCGCTATTCGTCTGACATTGTGCCGCACGGGCTGCAAATTTGCCACACGCCATTCGTCAAACAACGTCCAGCGACGTTCAAATTGCTCATTGGCGTTGCTTGGGCGAGGCCTTAGCAGTGGTGCCTTGACACGCAAAGCCCCTCCTCGACCGCACCACGTTGACTGCCCTCCTTTCTGGACAAGTAGACGCGTCTTGGCAGAAAGGACAATGGCGGAAGAGGCCGAGGTGCAAGAGGGACAAGGTGGAAAGAGGGGCAGTGGACGAAGGGCAGTGAAGGCTATACAGAGTCAGGGTGGCGCAAAAGGGAAAAGAAAAGCTGCGAGCGAGGCTGATGCGAAAGTGAGAAAAGCGGACCAGCTTGCCGCTTCTGAGTCTACGAGTGGACAGGACAGGAGGAGGAAGTCGAAGAAGGTGGATGGGCGCGAGAAGGGTGAAGCGGAGGAAGAGAGCGAGCTTAGCAGCGCAGAAGAGGTGGTGCCGATTCGCAAGAAAGCAAAGGCGTCCCAGAGCACAGGCAATGGCAATGGCGCCGACGATGGAAAAGTCTCTCACAGACCCCGCGGCAAGGTTCCCTACGCTTGGCACCCTTCCGCTCCGCAGGGAGGGCCAGCTTCGGATACTTTGGCGGACGAGTCTTTGCCCAAGAATATGAGCGTGCCGGACGATTTGAAGCTGGACAGAGCGAGAGGGGAATTGCCGAAGGAGCAAAAGAGGATTGTGGTTTGGAACATCACTAGTCTGAACAGTGCGGAGAAGAAGGGAATGACGAGGTATCTGAACGAGGAGGATGCTGATTTGGTCTTTTTAAGCGAGACGAAGGTGAGTGATGTAGATTGAGACTCGAGACTTGGGAGCGCAAGGATGTGGCACTGACCTGCATGGAGCGCTTCGTTGCGAACTTTTGATTTCCTCCTGAGTCGTTCGCAGTGCAACGAGATTCCCACATTCAACTCGTTCAAGACGTTGTATCCTCATCAAACCTGGAGCGTCTCTTCAACAAAAGGTTACGCTGGCGTAGCTCTTTTGAGCAAGATGAAGCCTCTCAGCACCTCGACGACGCTCAAGCTTCCTCTAATAGACTCGTCCGAAGCACGCGCGGTGCATGAACGCTTTGGCAGCGGTTTGCTTCAAGGCGTACCTGATGACGAAAAGATCGAAGAGGAAGATGTATTTGCGTTTGCCAAGAATGGAAAGGAGGCACAGGCTTTCGAGAAGGATGTGGCAAAAGGAAGAATCGTCACTGCTGAATTCGAGAATTGGATAGTAGTTGGGACGTACGCTGTCAATGCTGGCGAAGGTGAGTTAGAACCTGGCAAGGTACCTCGCTGCTCGAAAGGCGGCATCCTCTCATCACTCGTGACCATCGCGCCTCTTCCTCCTTCTTCGCACCCCACATCTTGCCTCCTTCCCTCGTACGCACACACGTAGGTCTCAAATCCCTCTCAACAAAGCGCAAGTGGTCAGCTGCGCTCTCGTCACACCTGCAAGCATGTCAAGCGCGCAAACGCACCATATGGTGCGGAGATTTGAACGTGGTGATGGATGCGAGAGATTTGAGCGCGGCTAGCAAAAAGTGGAACAAATCTCCTGGATATACGGTTTGGGAATGTGAGGCGCATAGGCGGCTTCTCGGTAGGTCCTTGACGTCGACGAATATCGAGGCCAGAAAGAATGGTGATGCGGTGGAGAATGGAGGAGAGGAGGAGAAAAAGGTTGCTTGGACGGACGTTTGGAGAGATTTGGTCAGTCTGAGCGGTATGAAGCAGATGATCAAGGCCATCGCTGATTTCCCCCAAATCCTCGCACTCTTTTCGCATTCGCTTCCTGCGCTCTTTTCAGCATCCCAACCACGTCGGTCATTACAGTGAGTCTGTTCTTTCTGATCAGGCTAGACAGATGCGATTATCTGAAATCCTCCCCGGTCCACGCTTGGCAGCGTTCTATGGCTTTAGAGGAGCTTGCAGGGTCAAAGGAATAGGTTGGAGATTGGATTCCTTCATACTGTCTCCCGGCGCAAAGAATAAAGTCAAGGCGTGCGAGATTCGTCACGAGGTGCGTCCCGTCGTCGTTCCTTTCCTTGCAGCAGCCTGGATCCGGATCTGAAGACATTGCTCGTCAAGTCGCCCCGCGTGCTGTGCTAACTTTCAACATGCTTCACCACAAAACCCATCGCCCCGACGCCGATGCCGATGCCGATGC